TTGCCCCTCAAGCAAATAACCATTACGACTCGTATAAATGCAGTGCCATATAATATCAACACATCATGGACATGATGTGGATGTATTGTGAACATTAATTAACTCGTAGGCCCATTTTGACTTTACAGCGCGATCTTGCATTTCATTCGCCTATAGGTGTTTTCCGATCTAACTTCCTCATTCTATAATCCCCGTGGTGTCCAGTAGTAATGTGGGGGGTTTTCTAACTTTCTACGAAATCTATAAATCTAAACAAAATATACACAAAAAGTTAATAGCTGTGATGGGCAGGGACCACTCGGTTAAAGCTACCAAACGCTCCTGGTCTGTCTGAGAAGAGTCTCCGTGGTTTGAGAAAGGCTGTCCCTGATGTCCTGAAACTTTTGGTGAAAATTGGGATTTTTGGTTCGAGTTATAAAAAAATAGTTTAACACGTAGGCTTTCGCGACAAATATTATTCATAGTAAAGGTTTTTGGGTTAGATCGCGTTATTTATAAATGTGTCGTAACCCTCCACCACCCGACACGGCCAATCAGCAAAAAAAGTGTCACGTTGACAAAAGACAAATAGTTCACTACTTTAGCCCACCGGTGTGTTGAGTGAATCCACAACATTTACAGTTTGAGTACGACGTTTCGCTGGTAATTACATCCAGCATCATCGGGCAATTCGCCAAACCATCTGGCGAATTGCCCGATGATGCTGGAATGGTCTGGCGAATTGCCCGATGATGCTGGATGTAATTGCCAGCGAAACGTCGTACTCAAACTGTAAATGTTGTGGATTCACTCTTCAACACACCGGTGGGCTAAATTAGTTAACTATTTGTCTTTTGTCAACGTGACACTTTTTTTGCTGATTGGCCGTGTCGGGTGGTGGAGGGTTACGACACATTTATAAATAACGCGATCTAACCCAAAAACCTTTATTATGAATTGTAAAAAAAAAAAATGTCCGTCGCCACGTGTTCGACTGATGATGACGCGAGACAAGGGCGGCGCTACGCGATAAGTGGGCGGGGTCACGCGTGGAGCGGGCGGGGCTACGCGAGCACTTGGCGGGTCTACATGTACACGAATTTGGTGGGGCCAACCGGCTTAAAAAGTTGTGTCACTGAAAGTTAAAGTGTGTTCGTTTGACCAGGTGCACAACAAGCAACTGGCAATTTAAAAAAAACCTCATCTTACTGAATACGTTGAGTTTTTTTCTTTCAGAAATACCGTATTGCACAAACATTAATCAATGTTAAATACTGAAACTTGCTTTAACCTGCAGACACCGGAAGATTATTTCCAGACCAATCGGCGTACTTTTTTTTAATTGTGACAGAAATGTGATTTGTGCTAATTTGTAGACAGGAAATGGAATGTCAACTACAAATTAGAGCTGAGATATAGTTGGATAAAAAAAAAGTCTCAACCTCTTCTTCCTGCATGTGCCACTGGACGGGAGGTGATGGGTAGGGGCTTGGTGTCGGCATTATCAGGGCAACTTTTAGGGAAGCTTTCTTTGCCTGTGGGAGGTAAATGTCCCGCACGGCCACCATTCGTTAATTGCAAAGTTTGGTCAATGATCTAAGCACCTTGCTAACTGTACGTACATCGTGCTATTTGTGATGAGCATACCTCGACATTTATTGGAATTTAGCTTCTAAATCATATCTCTGTACAGGAACACTTTGCACTTTCGTCTGGTTAGGGACCAGAGCATGGACGAATGTCAAAGCAGAATCTTTATTTAGCTTGCAAATGTATTTTGTCCGCGAAAAACGAACATGCAAATAACTATATAACATGCGTGCGAAACCTAAATGAACAAATCAAAGCAAAATAAACAAATACATCTAAACCAGTGGTTCTTAACCTTGTTGGAGGTACCGAACCCCACCAGTTTCATATGCGCATTCACCGAACCCCTCTTTAGTGAAAAATAAAATGTGATTTTTTTCAAATTCAAGACATAGATATGTTTTTTACTGGTACACAAAATGAGCCGTGCATGAACATTACCTTGTTCAAAGAATAAAACCAACACAATGCATAAACTCACAACAAATTACATACCTGGAAATCAATGTGACTTCTGCTGTTGCCTTTGAGAGATCAGTTCAGATATGCGTGGCTTCACCTTGGCAAGTGCCACTCTCATGTCATTTTCACAGCAAAGTCTGTTCCTTTTCTTCGTTTTTATGTCCAGCATCCTCGAAAAGGATTGCTCACAAAGATATGTTGTAACAAATGGTATAAAAAAAATCCAGGGCTTTCTTAGCAATAACTGGATACTTGTTCATTTGTCGACACCAAAACGTTGAGAGCGTTGTTCTGAAGAGTTGCTGTTGAACCTGGCTCTGCTGAATTTCAATGATTTCGTCGAGGAATTCATCATTGACATCTGCTGTTTCAACAGCAAACGTGAACGGCTGTCTCACCCATGCTGGATATGACTCTCTTGTAGGGAAATATCCGTCGAGAGACTTTGCAAGCTCATCTAAGTGCGTGGCAATTGTTTGCTTCAGTTCCGTGGATACAGAAATATCTCCGATTCCAGACACATTTTCGATCTTACTTGCACAGTCGTCCAGAAGCGGGAAGTTTGCGAAGTTATTGTTCTCTGTTCGTCGTTTCCATAACGGTAGCTTTTTTTGAAAAGCCTTCAGGTGTTCTTCCGCTTCCATGATATTGACTCCACCACCCTGCATCTGCTGATTGAGATGATTGAGAGCTGCGAATATATCAGCCATGTACGCTAAAATGAGAATGAACTCAGGATTTTTGAAGCAATCTGCATGGCAGTGTTGGTGCTCTTGCAAAAACAGGGCTAATTCCACACGCATGGCAAAAACACGATTCAGCACCTGTCCCCGGGATAACCACCGAATATTAGAATGGAGCAGAAGTACCTCAAATTCAGAGCCCATTTCTTTACACAGCTCAGTGAAGATGCGGTGCCTCAGAGCACTTTTTCGCACATAGTTCACACATTCCACCACAGTTTTTAATACTTCTGCCATTTTTGGAGGTAAGGTTTTTGTTGCCAACGCATGCCTGTGCAGAATACAATGCGTCACAATGATGTGTGGTGCATCGGCCTTTACTAGCGCACCAAAACCAGATTTTCTTCCCAGCATGACTGGAGCTCCGTCCGTACAAACTGCAGAAACCATATCCCATGAAAGATTGTTGTCTCTGAAGAAGTCATCCACAAGCTTCTTCACATCGGCTGCCTTCGTTGTTGTTGTAAGAGGCTTACAAAATAAAAACTCTTCTTTTATCATGTCGTCTTTCACATAGCGTACAAAAACAGCACGCTGGCTTAGATCAGAAACGTCTGTGGTTTCGTCGAGTTGAAGGCTGAATTTTGCCGGGCTTGAAATCAGATCCGCGACTACTTGAGCCAAGATGTCTTTACTCATGTCTTCTATTCTGTCACTGACGGTGTCATTTGAAAGGGGAATTTGGGATAATTTACCTTCGGCCGCTGTTCCGAATATCAGATTCGCCATCTTTAATGCAGCTGGTTTCACAAGTGTTTCACCAATGGTGTGTGGCTTGCCCTGCTTTGCGATCAGGTAAGCAACTTCGTACGATGCTGTCAGGATCGGTTTGTTAACAGGTACAAATCCAAGAGCAGGCAGAGTGGCCCTTTCATCGAATCTGGCTCTCTTCACCCTGAATTCAGCAAGTGTTGTGTTCTTGTATTCCCCATCTCCATGCAGCTTCAAGAAGTGTTCCCTTAGTTTTGCCGGTGCAAGACTAGAGTTGCTCAACTTGGCGTTGCAAATCATGCAGATAGGACGCTCACTCCCATTACGTTCCGTGATACATGAGAATCCATGTTGTACATATTCGTCCGACCACTTTCTTCTTTTGCCCGACATAGTTAGTATGGATAAAATATTAAAGAAATCACACGACGTACGACAACAACAGTCACACGTTGACTACTGAGTACGCACTAAATTCCCCGCAGCGCTGATTGGCCAAGCAGTGTAGCATGATCATCTGCAGCCAGTGATGGCCAAGCGGGCCGTGTGTGTCATCACAAATTTACACAATAATTCAAGTGTGTCCGGACCTCCGTGGCGGGGGCTCTGCCGAACCCCTGAGATCGACTCACCGAACCCCTGGGGTTCGATCGAACCCAGGTTAAGAACCACTGATCTAAACAATACCTTGAAATATTTTTGTGATTCTTGCGTAAGTAAACACTGTAGTATTATACTATCACAAAAATTAACTATGAATTGTTCACAGTACAATCACTGAAATAAGTGCAGTATTAATAATATACGAATGAACACAAATATAAGAGACGCTTCACTGAACGACTTTTAATTCAAAGGCTGGAACGAAAAAGTTGGCGCGTGGCAGCGAACGTCGTGGAAAGTTCGCGATGGAAATCGGACGAAAGAGGAAATCGCTTGGGACGAAATTTTAAACGTGCTTATACCGTATTTGAGAACGGCCGAAAGAGCGAAGCGACGCAAGTCAAGGTAACGCCGTACGCAACAATACGATTGAATGTGTGGCCCCAAAACCAGCGGAGAAATAAAAATACATATTTATATTCTTAGCTCTTTCGGTAAAGTCACGTTGAAGGGAAACAATAAAATAATAAAATGTATATATATAAAACAATACAAACATTCTCACGACGTTTCGACCATAACACAAACGGTCATCACACCTGATGAAACGTCGTGAGAATTTTTATTGTTTTATATACATATATTTTATTATTTTATTGTTTCCCTTCAACGTGACTTTACCGAAAGAGCTAAGAATATGAATTACTGCAGTCACGAAAGCTTTAAATCTAAATTTAATACGTATTTAGTTTTTTTTCCGGAGCTCGGCACCCGGTCAATTCCCTCCCTCGTGTGTATGACGATGATTGACACGTGTCAGTGAGGGGTCGAGGCAGAGCGCGTGGTGGTCACGTGGGCCGGTGGGGGGTGGGGGGGGGCCCAAGACATTTTTTTTGGCGCCAGAGCCGTCACGTGGTGCGCGGCGCCGTCCAATCAGCGCGCCGGTGCTTTCGGTTCGCGGGAAAATGGCAGAGGGTGCGAAAAGTGAGGGCGGCTCGCAGGCTTGCGGGCTCGCGTTGCTGTGAAGCGGCGATCTACGCTGCGTTGCCTCTGCGGCCATCGGGGGCATTTTTAAACGAAGGGATTGTTGTTGTTGTGGAGGCGAGAGCCCCGAAGCGAGGGAGAAGGGGAGGGGCCGCGATCCAAGAGGCGACGCTCAGGGCCGTCGCCGTTTCGCTGCGCCCATGGAGCTCGGGCCTAAGCGGGGTGAGTTACGGTTGCCATGTGCCGTGTAAGCTGTTCTTATGAAGCATTGTTGATAACATAGAAGTGTAAATATTTGCGATGGGTATTTGTTGTTGTTGATGTTGTCTATTGACTCGTCGTGAGGAGTTGCGGTGAAGCGATCGCGAAGTCGAGGTGCTAATTTTGGCGTTGCTTGCCCGATGGAGGTCTCGGTTATAAAAGGAGGGCGATGTTCATGTTGATTAACTTTGAAGTGTTGATGCATTTAAGAGTAATGAGAGACGTCAGCCAATGTTCAAATCAGGCAACATTAAAAATAATTCGTGGTTGGCCCATTAATTGAATTGGTTGATTCCACTTTTGTTCCTTGATTTTGACAGGGGCGGAAACATTGGCTTGTTTGCAACGGGCCTTAATCCCTTGTTACCATCGTAGCGCAATATATTGTTTACAACTAAATCCACGTTAGCGTGCATCTGTAGAACAATTTCACGCAAACGTAAACATGTGTATTATCAAAGTTGTCAGCTATCGTAACCTCGTATGAGTGAAAGCAACCTCCGCCTATTTTACACCAGTACGGCATATCATACGTTCCTTTTTATATTTAAAATGCTTGGTTGCACCTTCAAATATAAACGTATCGTCATCTATGGGCCGTATATACCGCACACCACTTGTGAAATGCCAGTCGTTGCGCAAAATGTATTGTCACTTGGAAATATTAAACCTCTCCCAGACTCTTTAAGGACTCGTGAAACCACTGCTTTATTAGACAAGGACCCTGATAATGTTGCTGCTGCTCTTGCTAAGTTCTCTCACCCTTGTGTGTCTTTTTTTAGACACAGGACCAAGTGCCGGATTAAGATGTAGGCCCCTGGGCTCCATGTACTGCGAGGCTCCCGGAAATATTTTCAAAAGGAACACAAAGTTAAAGATAAACAAGATTTTTTTTTTACAAGGCTAACAACAAATATAATTCAGCATTCACAAATGAAATATCTTTTCACTTAATCGCTGGAGGCCCTCCAGCTGGCGAAGGCCCTTTGGGGCTGCAGCCGCTAAAGCCAATGCCAAAATCCGGCCCAACACAGGCCCAGCAACCAGTACGTCCGAGCCAGCCAAAAAAAACCAACGTGTATTCTTATATTGCATAGAGCCCTTGTCTCGCTTATCTTTTCCGGTTCCTTCTGTGTAACTGTATAGCGCAGTGTGTATCGATGTTTCGCGTTGTGTCTGTTTCACATGCAGATTTCCAGTTGTTGAAATCAATGTGTATTACACTTTAATGAAAGTTTAAAAAAATGGTTGTATAGGGAAATATAATAGTTGATTCAATTTCTACTCCCGTTACAGTGTACATGGTTGAGTTAAATTGTCAGATCAGTTTTCCTGGGCACTGCAATGAGAATAGGATGACCTAAAACAAACTAAATCAAGCCCCTTGTGATCCACTTGGATGAAGACCTCTCCTGCACGCCGTTTTGGTCATGGCCAGGAGGAGGGCAATCTTTGACCCATACTTTACTAGCCCCCCCCCCCCATCATCGCGGTTTGGCAACGTTTGGAAGGAACAGCAGGGCCGTTTGACATGTCACTTGCCCGGAATCTTACTCGGGTTTCATAAGCACCGTGCACCAATAGCATTACTGCCGCTGTATTTTTGCCCCGTGACAGGGTTAGTGATTTTATACTGAGTTTTACTCTTTCCACAATCAATTGTAATATTGCGTATGGCATTACGTTCGGGTTTGCTAGCCATGAGAGGCATTTTCGTGTAGTTTTGCTACTGCATTGAAGGTCGCAGAAGACGGTGGTGTTCTGTATGGTCTATGGTTTGGGTTTCATGGCCACAATCGCACTGGGGCTTTTATTTTACATTTGTTAACGACGTGTGCCTGTTAATGTTCTGATATGGTTGATAGTTACGCCAGTGTCTTTGAGCAATGTCAAAGGAGGCGCTATCTTTGGGTATCGAGGTGTTTATTCTTGACGGTCTGCGTTCGACTGTTTACCAGTCTTCCATATCTGGGTGAGATTCAGTTATGTTGATCGCACGATCACAGAATGGATGCCAGTTTAATTTGAAGGACAGTTTGCTGATCTCGGGTCACCGGTTCATATTGCAAGTGAGCTAACCACTGCCACTGCTCCACCAAGAATGAACATACGATGCAGTAATTTGCAAAAATTCCAGTTGATTGTTGACTAGACTTGCCCAAGATGTTGCCCTTGGAGCATAGTGTCCGTGTTGGTAACATAGCGTGTGGATGACTTCCGCACGTTAATAAGTGAGTTGTAACCAGGGGTGCGTGGAGTAAAGGTTAGGGTTGCCGCAATATGGCGATACAGTACTATATTTACTTGCCCCCTACTGGACATGTGTGAAAAATAGCTTCGTCGCTCATCAGATTTCTCCACAATAATTAAAGATTCTCATTCCGATTCTGACGATATATACAATCGTTCATTTACATTTTTAGAGTTGTAGAGGGCATGGCGATTATATGCCGTCATTTGAATTATGTATCAACTGACTGCATGTGCCTCCAGCGATACCGATTGTAAGGGTGCAATTCGAGCTGGGTTATCCAACTATTGATTGAATAGATGTATCGACTAAGATAACATATAGTTGTTGAGGTGTCGCCTGGTAACACGTGTGCCGCTGGATAGGAAGTGACGATTTGGAGATTGGTAACATGATTGCTATCAATTGCAGCACACCCGTCATGTTTTGGGGGATTTTCAGCATTCAGCAAAATTTCTGAATCACTCCCATTTTCAGAGGTTCCTGAATAATCGACCACGTAAAGTATATTTTTCTTGATGAGTTGACCTATTTGACAACTGTACCCAGGTCGAGGTGCAATCATCAGAAGACTTGAGTGGACTGGAGTTGAATTTGTATCATTCATACTAGAAATACAGCAAAACACACAAAATACAAATTAAAAAAAACTGAAGTACAATTACAAATTTACGAGAATTTGACATCGCGATAATCATGTTGTAACATTTCGTAAAAATGCTAGTAAAGGTTTTATTTGCCTTTTTCAGATATATTTGTGCCGTGTTTGGTGAGCTTGGATCGCTTGTCGGAGATCTGTAGGCAGCAGAAGCTAAAGTGTGCTGATCTTGACATTACCCGGCACAATCTTAACTACTATGAAGTGGAATACTTGTGCAACTACCAGAAAAAAGAGGTGAGTAATGCACACTCACTAAACATTTACACCATCTTTACAGACAACCTTCACAAATGTAAATTGAAATTGTACTTGACTTTACACTGAGAAATAACAAAAGCTTTACCTTTGTAGGAATGATGTATCATTTAAGTTTTTAAATGGCATACAACTCATTTCACCATTACGCTTAAATTATCATTTTTAGGATATGGAGTTTTACCTGGTGAAATGGAAAGGATACCCAGAGTCTGAAAATAGCTGGTTATCACGCAAAGATCTCAAATGCAAAGATCTGTTGAATGTCTTCCACAAAGACATGGAAAGGGAGTCGAAGAGGCAAAGACAAGTTCAAATCGTCAATGGAAAGAAGCCCAGAAGACATATCCGTAAGCTTCACCCCACTGTGGCCGAGTACCTGAAATTGAAAGGTCAGCAGAGGCTACTACTAGCCGCCTGGCAGAAGGACCTGAACCGGAAGAAGAACCACAGCGCTCTCATCCTAGTGGAAAATGATGTCGACCTCGAGGGTCCTCCAGCGTCCTTTATATACATCAACGAGTACCGACCAATGGATGGTGTTGTCATGGCTAAAGAGCCTGTGGTTGGTTGCAGCTGCAAGGACTGCTTTTCAGAACGGGGAAATGGATGCTGCCCTACAATCAATTTTACCAGCTTTGCCTACAACAACTCTGGTCGTGTGAAGGTGAAGCCCGGAACACCAATCTACGAGTGCAACTCCCTGTGCCAGTGTGGGCCCGAGTGCAAGAACAGAGTCGTGCAGAAAGGCATCCCGTTCCCACTCTGCATCTTCCGCACCGATAACGGCCGTGGCTGGGGAGTAAAAACTATGCAGAAGATCAAGAAGAACAGCTTTGTGATGGAGTATGTGGGAGAGGTAGGTGTAGTCATCAAGAAGGACTGATATCAACAAATCTTAATATTTTATTATGCTATTCAACAGTAAATATAATTTACATTCCTGGAATCCTACATTTGGTTTAATGGTTAGCACACTGAAATTGTAACATAGAGGTTGCCAGTTTGATCCAATCTCTTCGTGAAGCAGTTAAAATAATGGGCAAGTTTCTTAAATGCTCCCACTTCTGTACACCCAACGGTATAAAAATAGGTGCACCAGTCAAGTGTAAGGTTGTGTGTAGTGGGGGAAATTTTGGTGTGGCTGCTCTCTCACCTCTTCCAAGATATCTTGCCATGGAAGAGTAGGCTAAATACCCTCTAAGAGCTCTTGAGCTTATTTTAGTAAAGGACCTTCTGCCAGCATTGGCATAAGCAAGTGATTGCAGGACTGCACATTTACCATTTACCCTTTAAAAAAATATTTATTGCATTATAGTGTAAATTTTTGATGGTCAGTTGTTGGTGTTTCTGTGTGTTTTCGTGTGGAGCTCATCCCCTCGGAGGAGGCTGAACGTCGTGGTGTGATCTATGACAGGGCAGGAACAACCTACCTCTTCGATCTTGACTTCTGCAAGGATGACTACACTGTCGATGCAACCTTCTACGGCAACATCTCCCACTTTGTCAACCACAGTGTATGGCCGTACTTTGGTTGTGGTGTCACGTTAAAGAGTTTGGTGTATATTTGAACCTGCAAATTGTGGCAATTTTGATGTTAGGAATCTTGAATTTATTTGTTATACCAATGTTACAGGGTTGAGTTTTAAGATTTGAGATATTTAGGTTCCAACTTAATTAGTGTTATTCGGTACATTTAATGTGTCTGTTTTGAAAAGTATTGGTATAAGATGAATTTGTTTGATGAATTTCAATCAGATACACCTTTTTATGGGAAAAGTTGGACCCTTTTGTATATATCAAATGCAATTATAAAAATGCACATGAATTGGATGTGCAGTAATATGGATTGATACTACCAATACATGTACCGATCTTTTGTCAATCCGGAGGGTGCTGTGTATATCATCAGCAGTTATTTTGACCATACTAAATGCTGGTCAGTGCGGGTTAATGAAAGCAGGGAGCTTAGATGTGTGAATATAGAACACACTCATGTATTTCCCTCGCTGCCTTCTGCCACAATTTAGCCACATGGGACTATACTGACAGTTGCGTTTGTGACTTAATACAGTTCATGCCCAATTATAGTTCATTCCCATAGGTTGCAAGAAATATACAATAATCCTTCGCCAAACCGTGGGTGTTAGGATTCTGAAGACTGCCGTGCTTTGAAATACTTTAAGCCCCTATGGGTAAATAGGGGGTTAGGTCAACTGCAGCCGCGGTCACACTCGTCAAACACAACTAAGTTGCCTATTCCCTCACTGAACACAAATACACAATAACATTAAAAAACTAATATTCAAGTAGAAATTTAAAACAGTAAAATAATATTATTTATCTTTGATACTGAGGGTTAAGTCCAGTCCATGGAGATGACAGTGACGAGGATGAGGTAATGGGGGGAGGTGGTTGTTCGAAGGAAGAGAGGGGCTTTGCCCACCCTCTTTCTCCACCTCCACATGGTGATGGGAAGAGAAAGTTGGTGGGAGCTGGGAGATGAGACGATGCACAGAGGGAATACAGATGCTGGGTGATTTCAAATTGCAAATGGCGGTCGCCATGTTAAACCGTGGACACACAAAATTAATCGTGGTTAGAAAATGTATAAGCCGAAGGAAAATAGTGAATAGATAAACACCGCAAATGCAAAGAACCAGTTGGGAAGGGATTGCTCTGTTTGATTTCTTTAAAGCATACATCACTAAGTGGTTATGATCATTTTTCTTCCAATAAGCCTTTGATGTTTATAGATTTGAACACCCATTTTTGACCACTGTTTCGTTTCCTATACGTGATGCAACGTAAGTTATGTCAAAATCTAGCTCGAGTCATTTTGAGGCCTTGGCATGGCATTTACAACCAGCTATAACAATTGTCAGTGGTCAAACCACTTCTATGGCTGATACAGAGTAGGGAGGCCTTTATCCGGTAATTGATTGACTAAGGGGTGTAAGTTTTTTTTTTTACTTCATTTGATTGTGCCAATTGACTGCTCTACTGTTGTGTGCAGTGTGAACCAAACCTACAGGTGTACAGCACTTTCATCAATAACCATGACTTCAGTCAACCACGCATTGCCTTCTTTGCCATGGATGACTTAGCAGCTGGGGAAGAGCTGACATTTGATTACAACATCAAAGGTGAGCTACCTACACGGAGTGGTTCTGCTATCTGGCAAATATATTAGTCTGGTACCTGAGTACATAATGACACGTGCAATTCTAAAAACTGCTTACACAGTTTTAGAAATTAGTTTAACACATAGGCTTTTGCGACCAACATTATTCATAAGAAAGTTTTTTGGGTTAGATTGAAATTTGGAATGTTTTTTTTCATACAGCACTTAGGATCTCACTACAATTGCTCTAACCCAAAAACCTTTATTCTGAGTTTTAGAAATTGCTTACACAATTTTTTTTTATTTCCTCAGTTAAACTTAACTTAATTTGTATAAGGAGTTCAGGGGTGGTTAGGAACACTTGTACATCGATTGTCCATGTCAAAAATGTGAACTATAATTAATAAAAAAAAACAGTTGTTGACATTAATTACATGAATTCTAATATTAAAAAAAATTATATGATAAACATAAATATACGTAGCTCAGCTACAGGCTGGCTGAAGTGTACAGAGTGACGATGTCATGTCGGTCATGTTGCATGGGGTTGTATTCCTAATGGCAGTGATTACAACACCTAGAAACTTCTGCAACTCACCCACAGAATTGCAATCTCACTAGGAAACACATTTCCTTTGAAATTTGGTATGTTTTTTTTCATACAGCACTTAGGATCTCACTACAATTGCTACCTGCTGCATTTTATCAGAATGTTCGGGCCTCTGGAAAAAAATAGAGTCCAAGCCCAACATACCTTATCTACTTGTGTACATGATTGTTTCTCACCAGCAGTTATTGAATGGAAGAGGAACTGGCAAAACATCTGCTGAAAATATTCCCATTGTAATTAATTTAATGTTTTGGTCAAACAAAAACTCACTTGCAACATTGTTGACTGGGGAGCATATGTTACAAATAGTCCTTATTTTTATAACTTGAGATTTTTAAACTGCTTGTAGATAGTTGTCATAACTACATATGATTATAGGAATAGGTTTTACCCTTTTAACTGGCACAAAAACTGACACCTTTATTCAAGGCATCATGTTTGCAATGACCACAACACAAGCAGTCAAAATGCAAACAAAAAAAGACAACTCTGATAATAATATGCACTGTCCTTGAATTTGATTGGTCCACACCCGAGACAGCTTTTCTTAGAGCCTAGTCTCCATTGGTGTTGGACCAGAAGACGCCAAAAGGCGTACAACTCAAAAACAGCGCACTATCAGAATATTGAGGGCTCGGGGTGAGCATTAACATTATGAGACCTCCTTTGCCAGAAACAAGATATAGGAATAGGTTTTACCCTTCTAACTGGCACAAAAACTGACACCTTTATTCAAGGCATCATGTATATATATTATTACTTAGAAATACTATTTTCATGTTTCATGTTGTATCTTTCTTGTTTCAGAAATTACAGAAGATATGGCTGATGCTCCCAATAGCCCGATTCAGGCTAGCCCACTTTCCAGTCACAAATGCCCGGATTCCAGTAGCCGGGCTTTGCATGGTCAAGTCACCAATGGCCCTGTTGCCATTGCTTCCTATTCAATTGCACCAGATTCCAGTGGATCTGTCCCTAATGGGAGTATTACAAATGGCCAGGTTCTAAATTCTCCAATATCTAATGGTCTGGTTCCAAACGGTTTGGTTAAAAATGATCTGATTTCAAATAGTTCAAGTCAAAATGAGTCGTGTAACAAAGACACTGTGCTTCACACCACTGTGACCACAAGCCCCAAGCAGAGAGCCCGCATTACCTGTAAATGTGGAGCAAGTACATGTCGGAAGTTTTTATACTGAAACCCATCACCTCCGCTGTGTTCTAATTATTCATTTTCTAAAACGAGGAGCTTTGTTGCGAGTGTGGTATGTTGAACTCTTATTACCACCTGATTAATGCAGCTTTGTAAATAAAATCATAACTCCACTTTTTTTATTTAAATTCAATCAATGCAGGATTTGATTTGTGGTTTATATTCGTAATACATTTTTGGGTCGGATTGTATAAATAAAATGTGTATAGTATACTGTCCCCCACCCCACAGCCAATTGCTTTTGTAAACGTTTCAATTTATACTGCTTAGGCACACGTATATTTTGTAGAGCAATCCACAAAATGTAACAAGTGTGTACGAAGTTTATCTGGATGTTAAACCAGCATCATTAGGTATTTACTGGTTGGAACTACCAGTGAAACGTTTCACATTGTATGGCGTTTCTGCGGCCGTCTGGAATGCATTTCTGATGTTAGGAAGCCACGAGAGCTATGCACTTTTAAATCTAGATTGAAAACGAATTTGTTTAGAACAGTTTTTTTTGTGTTTAGTTGTCCTTCCCCCGCACCTCCGATTAGCACGGTTGGCTACATACAGTGTGCAAGAAATTAAAAATACAACCAGCATCATCAGGCAGTTGGTTGTGATTGCCAGCAAAACGCCATACCCGATTGTTAAATGTGGATTGCTCTCCAACATACGGGTGTGCTGAAGCAGTAATCAATTTTGATTGAAAACTTTCATGACTGCAGGAATTAAGCTTTGGTAAAGTCACGTAGATAGAATTTTTTTAAATAAAAATAAAGTGAATTAAAGGAAAATAAAAAAACTAAACCATTAATGTAGACTGTAGCTTGGTTCTTAATCGGTCTGAGTGTACTGACAGTCTACAATGTAGACTGTAGCCTGGTTCTTAACCTCGTTGAGCATACTGGCAGTCTAAGGTAGACTGAAGCCTGGTTTTTAAGCTTGGTGAGCGTTTCGGCATTCTATAATGTAGACTGTCACAATGCTGCGTGCTTTAAAAGTTATAGATTCTAGTGCTGTGGCTATGGAAAATATTTTTTCATTAAAGAGAAAAAAATATTTTTGTTTAGATTTTTATCTTTTATTATTTTTATTTTTTTGTTACTGAAAGAACCAAGAATAAGTCTACATTATAGACTGCCAGGACACTCCGATTAAGAACCAGGCTACAGTCTACATTCATGTTTTTTATTTTTAAAATTATTTTTCGATCTACGTAACTTTACCGAAAGAACCAAAGAATACAGTAATAAATTGGCACATTTGTTCACATGACAACTGAATTGTCTGCGGAGGATGGTGTAAAACGTACTGGCAATATTACCCAAAAATATATTATGCATTGCAATATTGATTGTGAAATTCTATGTTTTGAAGTGGGTTTTTTTATTGTTTTGTGTTACCCTGCATGACTTAAATTGCCTTTACAGAAGTACAATGGCTCATCTAAGATGCTGGCAAAGGTGTGCTGTGTGCTTTTAAAAGTTATACATTCTAGTGCTGTGGCTATGGAAAATATTTTTTCATCAACAATTGTCAGTACATTGCTACTTACGTTATTCCATTTGGCCTGAGGATATTTTAAATTTACATTTAGAAATTGTAGACATTAAAACAATTATCAAGAGTCTTGACTTTGTTTTTCTTGTAATGCATTTTCTATATTTTAAAGCCTTGCCAGCTTATTGCTTAAATTATGCTAAACTAATTAGCCATATGTGACAATGAGATGTCATTAGAATGTCAAGGTTTTAAGTCTCATTGCTACATAATATGAGGGTCAATGTTGAATTGAGGTAAAATGAAAGTGTTTTGTAAAATTTTAACCACGTGTGTATTTCCTTCATGTTCGAAGACTGATGTGCTTTGTGAACTAGCATGAGAGCGTTAAGAAATTGGATACTTGTATTATGACTTATTGGAACAGTTCCCTACATACAGAATATACAAGTCCATTTTGTTTTAACTACATAAAATATACAAAGTTTGAATGTTACTTCATGGCATTAATAATTGCTATATATTTCAAAATCCAAATCCTCTGCATCGGTAAAACGTTTGTATGGATTTGCAGCACTTGTTAAAGTTTATTTGCTGTTAAATATTCAGTAGAACATGAAAGGTATTATTGGAGTGGTACCGTAAGTATTGACCGAGATGAACTGCATTTGTTAAACTTGACAACTTTAATAAATTGAATGTGACTATTAAGTAGACTTATTTGGAAACTACCTTTGTTTTATAATGCATACGTTTTGGTATGTGGGATGAGCTTGACAATAGCCACGTTTTACATTGGTACATGTGAAACCCTTTTAACCAAGTGGGTAAAAATTGAACTTCAAGAGGACAGTTTAATACAGATTAATATATTTTCAGACAAATTATTGTTTTGCAAAATCTGAGCACGTGTTTTTTTCTGGTTATTTATATGCCAGCCTGAGTAAGTGCAGCGTTTATCTTATTCCTGAAGCTAGCATTGAGTTTGAATGCTTCGTTTGTGGAGCCAGAGTGTTCCAGATGACGGTAGCAACCACGGACGAACGACGCTGAGAGTCAGGACGGTTCTGGGGGTCATGATCAAACAGATCTTGAGATGGGTTCCAAAGAATACGGTGCCCTTTCGTGGTTAAGAGGTTCAAGAAGAGTGAAGATATATGGCAGTTTACCTTGAAAAGTAGCACTATGAAAGACTTACGGTATGCAGGGCTGGATTAAGATGTAGGCCCCTGGGCTACAGGTACTGTGAGGCCCCCAGTAATATTTTCAAAAGGAAAACAGTTAAAGAAAAATAAAATGTATTTTTACAAGGCTAACATAAAATTCAGCATTCACAAATTAAATAACTTTTCACAATCTCTGGAGGCCCTCCAGCTGGCGGAGGCCCCTCGGCTGCAGCCCCTAAAGCCCATGCCTTAATCCGGCCCTGACGGTATGCGTGATCCTCGATTTTACAGGAAGCCAGTGGAGGGTCGTTAGTGCAGTCCCTGGTGTCCCGTATGGCTGCACTCAATAACAGACGGCACGTGGAAGATTATGTTGAAATTGTTGCAACAAATGTTTTCGATGGCTGGATAAGGAATGGCGTTGCAGTAATCAAGACAAGAACCAACGATTCGACATGCCAACGTTCGCTTAGCTGTTGGCATCGGTATTCTGTGCCATCAGGCCTTAAGGTGATGATTGCTAATTAAAACTCAGTTTTATACAGAACTTCACAAAATAAATATATCCAACCCTTAAAAACCAATAGACAAATTATAAAATTATACAAGTCAAGAATCTTTACACAGACGGATATGAAAACAATAACGTTTTAAGATGGGACCTAAACATACTCCCAACTTAATCCATGATGTTCTGGGGGAAAAGCATTCCACAAACAAGGTGTCTGGCTGCTGAAGGCTCTCGCTCATTGTTCACAAGTTTGTCCTCTCTTTCGGTGCACAGATTATGGAGCGAAGTTGCCCTGCTGGAGGGCGTAAGGTTTAAGCAGCTCAATATGTGTAAGGGATCCCACTCCATCAGGACCTTTAACGTTCAGTGAGAGAGTTGAACCCTCGGTAACGTCCATAGATTGCTGTTGGTTATATAGATTGATGGTAGAGCCAGAGTCAGAGTCAAAGATTAAGAAGTAGTGAAGCTCTGGTGAGACTGCCTAGTGCTTAGACAGAGATCTTCAGATTTGTTGGTATTGGACAGACGGCTATTTGACCAGAACCAGGTCTCCGATTATCACGGTTGACTACAGTGCGAATGAAGTTCAACATACAGGTATGCAAGTGTGATGTGGAATCCGTTAAATTCTTTGAGATGTCAGGGGTCTATCGATGAGGAACCTAAAGGGGGGGGGGGTGCAAGTACGGATCCCTGAGGTATTCCAGTTGTCGATATGGTCACTGACGATGTATAATTTCCAACCTTGATGTAAGTCAGCACACCGGTGTTAGCGAGAGAGGCCTGCTGTTCAGCACACCTGTGCTGGTGAGAGAGGCCTGCTGTTCAGCACACCAGTGCTGGTGAGAGAGTCCTGCTGTTCAGCACACCCGTGCTGGTGAGAAGAATGCGCCGATGATGGTAGCCTCAGCCGGTCGGTGCGCCCTGTTTTGTCTGTTAATTCAGTGTTTTGCCAAGATTTTCGGAGTTTTTTTTAACAAGAGACGAACTTTTAAACATCAGGGAAACCACTCCTGTGGATTTATTTCCCACTTTTCTGCTCCCAGCGGCAGAATTAGTGGGCATTCTAGTCAAAGCCACGCTAGGCTTTGCTCAAGCAGCGAAACGCCGCCCAAAGGGGTAAACGGTCGGGGGCTCTAGTACGGCTACGCAGACGCGGGATCCGAACAGTGCTTCCGAGCTTTTTCCTCTCCAACGTACGTTCACTGTGCAACAAAATGGACGAACTTCAGCTACTGATAGTGAAAAACAAAGACTTTCTTTCAGCTTCTGTTTTGTGCTTCACGGAGACATGGCTGTGTGATTTGATTCTGGACACTGCGCTACAACTGACAGGATTCCATATTGTAAGATCGGATAGTGACATAGCACTCTCCGGCAAGACGAAAGGCGGTGGTATTTGTTTTTACATTAACAGTGGCTGGTGTTACAGTGATTCTGCAACATTGTTCTCCGCTCCTTGAATCATTTTTTTATAAACTGTAAACCTTTCTACTCGCCTCGCGAGTTCGCGTCGCTCATTTTGGTCGGAGTTTATTTGCCGCCTTGTCCTCAGGTTAAAGAGGCCCAACGCATGCTCGCCGATCAGATTCTGAGTGTGGAGCGAGCAAATCCAGATTCGGTGGTTATCGTACTTGGCGACTTTAACAAAGGTAATCTCAGCCACGAACTCCCCAAATACATACAATTCATGAAATGCCATACCAGAGAAGGGAACACTCTGGATCACTGCTACACTACAGTAAGTAGAGCCTACCACGCCGTCCCCCAAGCAGCACTGGGACACTGACCATGCCATGGTCCACCTGATTCCTGCATACAGGCAGAAACTAAAGCTCTGCAAACCTGCTGTGAGAACATCTAAACAGTGGACCAGTGAGGCTGTGGAGGATTTGCGGGCGTGCTTGGACTGTACTGACTGGGATATGTTCATGACTGCTACCAATAGTCTGGATGAACTCACAGAGGCTGTGATGTCATACATTACAGCTTCTGTGAGGACTGCTGCATTCCAACACGTACCAGGGTGAACTTCAAAAACAAGCCCTGGTTCTCAGCAAAGTTCAGAAGGTTGAGGTTGGAGGAGGAAGCGTTTAGGAGTGGGGATAGAGACAGATTCAAGGAGTTGAACAGGTTTAGCAAGGCGGTGAGAGAGGCTAAACGACTGTACTCAGAGAGACTAAAACACCAGTTCTCTGCTAACGACTCTGCTTCTGTCTGGAGAGGGCTCAGGCAGATCACCAACGACAAGCCCAGAGCCCCCCACACCACTAACGACTCCCGCCTGGCCAACGACCTGAATGAGTTCTACTGCAAATTTGAAAGAAAATTGGACTGTCCTGAACTACCCCTTCCCACCCAAGAGGCCCCACCCCTACTACAGAGACGACTCTCTCCTTTCAGGAGGGAGAAGTTAATAGACTTTTCAAGAGGCAGAACCCACGCAAAGCAGCTGGGCCGGACTCTGTCTCTCCAGCCACCCTCAGGCACTGCGCTGACCAGCTGTCTCCAGTGTTCACCAACATCTTTAACACCTCCCTGGAGACATGCCATGTACCAGCCTGTCTCAAGTCCTCCACCATTATCCCTGTGCCCAAAAAGCTAAGGCCAACAGGACTAAATGATTATAGACCGGTCGCCCTTACCTCTGTGGTAATGAAGCATTTTGAGCGCCTGGTTCTGGCACACCTCAAAGCCATCACAGACCCTCTCCTGGACCCCCTTCAGTTTGCCTACAGAGCCAACAGGTCTGTGGACGACGCAGTTAACATGGCCCTCCACTTCACCCTACAGCATCTGGACTCCCCAGCATCCTACGCCAGGATCCTGTTTGTGGTCTTCAGCTCTGCCTTCAACACCATCATCCCTGCCCTGCTTCAGGACAAGCTCTTCCAGCTGAACGTGCCCGACTCCATCTGCAGGTGGATCACAGACTTCCTGTCTGACAGGAAGCAGTGCGTTAAGTTGGGAACACAAGTCTCTGACTCCAGGTCCATCAGCACCGGAACTCCTCAGGGCTTTGTCCTTTCTAGATTTAAAGCTTTTGTGACTGCAAGGATCCATACTCTTTGGTTCTATTCGGTAAAGTCACAAAATTCTAAACAAACACAAGATCCTGGTCCGGTTCAATACAGTACATAAAATCCATGACCTGATCCCTTCCGTGAAGGATGTCATTCCTGACTTACAGTACCCCGGAGTTTACAAATTGATCTGCACCTGTGGTGACTGCTATATCGGGGAGACAAAACGACATGTCTCTGACCGAATTCGCGAGCACAAATCAGATTTGAAACACGGCAGAACGAATTATTCTGCCGTAGCTGATCACTGTTACAACACTGTGGGTGATCACAATATAATTTTCTCCGATACCAAGGTTCTTTGCAAACCAACGGGTTTTTATCAGAGATTTGTTCACGAGGCAATTCAGATTTACAAACACAGACACAATTTCAACCGAGAGGATGGTTTCAAATTAAGCAACCATTGGAAAGATGTTCTGAATCAAACCAAACATTAAACTCTCCCCCCCCCCCTCGCTGGTCTGCACTTGCTGCCCCCCTGTACATCGTTCATCATGCTAAGTCCGCCAATTAAATGCTAATTTATTATGCTAATTCCTTTGTCAAGGCGCTCTGCTTCCTCTCACACAGCTTAAAGGTCGCGGTCTGAGCTTGGCTGTGTTCACTCCAGCACTGTCCTCTAGACAGTCTGCTCCCTTGACCTGATGAAGGCCACTTGTGTTGTGGCCGAAACGTTGTGAATTTTTTTTGTTTTTTACGTGACTTTGTCCTTTCCCCACTGCTCTTCTCCCTGTACACCAACAGCTGCACCTCCAATCATCTGTCTGTCAAACTCTTGAAGTTTGCGGACGACACCACCGTCAATGGGCTGATCTCTGGTGGGGATGAGTCTGACTATAGGTGGGAAGCTGACAACCTGGTGACCTGGTGTAGCCAGAACAGCTTAAAGCTAAATGCTCTAAAGACAGTTGAGATGGTTGTGGACTTCAGGAAGAATACAGCCCCACTCACTCCATCACCCTCTGCGACTCCCCAGTCAAAACTGTAGAGTCCTTCCGCTTCCTGGGCACAATTCTCTCCCAGGACCTCAAGTGGGAACTGAACATCAGCTCCCTCACCAAGAGAGCTCAACAGAGGATGTACTTCCTACGGCAGCTAAAGAAATTCAACCTGCCAAAGACAATGATGGTGCACTTCTATACAGCAATCATTGAATCCATCCTCACCTTCCATAACCGTCTGGTACGCTGCTGCCACTGCCAAGGACAAGAGCACACTGCAGCATATCATCCACACTGCTGAGAAGGTGATTGCTTGCAATCTACCAACCCTCGAGGACCTGCACACCTCGAGGACCATGAGGCGAGCGAGGAAGATTGTGGCCGATTTCTCCCACCCTGGACACTCTCTGTTCCAGCTACTCCCCTCCGGCAGAAGGCTGCGGTCCATCAGGACCAAAACCTCACACCACAAAAACAGTTTCTTCCTATCCGCTGCTGGCCTCTTCAACAAGGCCAAGGGCTTACACTGACTTTAACATGTTATCTACAAAATGACACCTTGTCATATTTACACTGTTACCCTATTTGTATTTTTTGTATTTTTAGATTGTATCTTATAGCTACTTTATATTCAATATTTATTCAAAATTTTACATACTTTAGCCCCTTAGTGTTAGTTAGACTTTGTACCTTTAGTATAGTTAGACTTGTATACCACTTATTTTAGATTTAAGATTACTCTATGTTGAATGTATGCACCTTCCTGCCAAAGTAAATTCCTTGTCTGTGCGAACTTTCATGGCGAATAAAAACCCTTTCTGATATTAACCAATATAGTGCATACCACTGACAGCAATCTCAGATTCCAGATGCTCGATTAAGATATATATTGTGTCAAAGGTAAGATGTTAAGGCTGACCAATACAACAATGGAACGAGAGTCAACGAGATAAAATGTCAGTGGTCTTGACAAGCAAGGTCTCGCTGGAATATGCTGAATGGTAGGTAGACTGGAGGGGACATTTTAGATGTGGCCTTACAAGAAGCAGACGTTCTAGCAGCTTAGAGACTTGATACATTCGATATTGGTTGATTATTAGAGTTGTTAAAGGCAGGCGTTTTAAAGATTGGTGTGATCCGACCCAACCTCATTCACAAGGGGTGGGGGGTTAAAATTCCAGATTTCAAACTTTGCTACATGTGCACCCACCACAGAAACTGTGCAGTGCACTGTTTGAAGATGGTACCCGATAGGTAGTCAAAGTTTAATTTATTTATTGGGGAAGTTCAAAGATGTTTGGTATCTCCTGGGGCTTGACAGGTGGGAAGAGCGAGAGGGATCGAGAAATTACTGCAGCCGGCAGTTGGTCATGACAGGTAGAAAGCTTTCCCCTAATGGTGGGAATTTTAATTATTATTTTACACGCTTTTATTTAACTCACTCTTGTCTGTTGTATCCTCAACTCTGTTGTATCCAAAAAATCTTGTAACTCAATTCTAACCCACTTCCCAATGTCATATCGACTGCAAACTTGGTATACATATGTCATACTGATGACAATACTATATTCTATCATTAAACATGAAATATATATTTTTAAACAATATTTTCTTATATGTTATGTTTCGGCTTTGGTCTAATTGTCCACGCTCAACTCACGTTGGCTGTAATTGGCCACGGCCCCCTTACGTTGTGGCAAGCTTCGGGGCCACTTCCTGGAGTCGTGGAGTTCTGCCATTACTAGTACGATACATTTCATTAAAGCGTGTTTTTTAAAAAGTATTTTTCCAATACTACTTATTTTTTGTTGTTGTGAATAAGTCAACGTTAGTGGTGAGCTCAGGGGTCGGCTTGGTGATCACGCTGGGATGGCACTTGGTTACAGTGGGGGTGGGCATTTAGTGTGGAACAGAGAGTTGACGGAGATTATTCATGACAGAGTTAATGTTCATTAATAAGGGAAGTGTGAGAGGCCATGCTTAACCTAGTTGTGCACGAAACAGCTGGGCGTGGTTGGAGATGATGAAAATAAGTTGTATTATGGATTGAGCGAGGTGCTAATTAGGGTGAGATACGGTATACTTGTTAACTCCTTCAAACTCTGTAGCCTCATTTGTGATATTGGCTAAGAGGGTTGAAAGTACAGGTAGTCCCGGACTTACGATGGAGATGCGTTACAACGACCCCATCGTAAGTCGGGGACTACATGTAGCTGTGTCCTGAGGAGAGCGGTGGTGGTGGATTCTAAGCTCTTGGGCATACGAGAGTGCAAAGCGTTGTCTGGCGTTAAAAGGGACCGGGGTGAGGGTTGATGCCGACCAGAAACAGCAGGTGATCCGAGTGGGCCACTGACCGGTGGTGGCTACTCGAGACCACACGTGGTCAGCAAGGCTCCTGCCAGTGACTGTGGTATGATGTGAAGAAGGGCAGCACACCGCTGCAGTGCAGCCAGGGGGCCACCGGACTGACAAATTCTAAGATTAAAGAAATTGCCCTCATGAGATATGGACTCACACTTTTGCTAAATTAGCACTGATTGCGTATTTGCACGGGGTATAACTTAAGTGAAATGCAAGCGATATATAAAAGCTGACATGTTGCACAGCAATATGGCATGGAAGATGTTCTTAGTTTCTCAGTGACACTCTGGCCTACTTTCAAGTTCTGTGCACATTAATTATTGCATCTTGTTTGACTAATGAAGTGAAATGTGTTTTCCAACGACATCATCATTTACATACGGCGGGCTATCGGATATTCGGTTTACCGAATATTATATAAATTTAGAAAGGCAACAGTTTTTCCTCCTGACATACGGTTTGAGAGATACAAAGTGTGACAAACGGAACGATGGACACGTGCATTATATACAGAAATCCCTCACCAGACGCGTTTTTCGCATCTGCGGTAATTATGTATCCACGGTTTTCTTTCTGCATACCAATTTGCTAACCGCGGGATGGAGTTATGCGTATCCGCGCTTTAGCACGGCAACCGGCACTTTTAATTCAAAAACACATTCCTGCGGAGGGAGCTGGTAAGATCGTTGGGTTGTTCGGTCAACGGCGGCATGGTGTATTCCGCAAATATGCCCGACTGTGAGGGCGGGCACAAGCCGGCGTGAGTAGGTTAAACGTTGAGTTTTATAAGGGCACCACGGGGTGACCAGCCCCTCCACTCCCAGCCCCACCCCTCCCCGCCCAGCCCCACCCAGCCCCTCCCCTCCCATTTTTGGATGCACGACGGACGGACACAATAATCCCGTGGGCTGGTGTAACCAGAGGTTCCTACCAGTATCACCTGCATCTGTATTTCCTCCGTACATTTTCTCATCTCCCAGCTTCCATCACCAACGCTCTCTCTCACAGAGTGATTGTTGTGTGTGGACGTTGTCGTATTGTCACGCATGATCTTCAATTATTAGCATGAATTTTGCCCTTAATCATGGCCCTAAGTGTGCAACCAAGAGGGTGTGCAAAACCCCTCTTTCTTCTGTTAAAGGGTGGTGAGACTCAGTGTTCATTGGAGCAGCTACAGCAAGTACGGTATCAATCAGGTACAGTATTCTTGATTTAAAAGAATGTAAGTTATCCTAAAACAGCTTAAAATGCAGCAGCGAGCTACCCAGCCGCGTCCAAGGCACCACATCACCCATCCACCAAGATATCTCCCGATCAGTTTATCAGTTTAACACTTAGGCTTTCGCGACAAATATCATCCATCGATCTAACCCAAAATAACCCTGCATTACAGAAGACCCCCTGATATCTGACTCCGCCCCCTTTATGTAGGTGGAGAGCTCTCCCTTAATTAAATTGTTCCATTATTACACCCAGCTGTTCCCAAATTACCTTATTTTTTGGGTGAGGCACCACACCGCTCAAGCAATCCTAGGTGTGCGTCCACATACCCTCCAGCCCCACACAGAGTACCCAGCCCCCAGACATCGCAACACAGGCGTGGCAACAGATCACAGCACTTCTCACAACCACCTCCTCCACATGAACTCATTCCTCATCAACGTCATCTTCATCACCACCACGGACTTCAACCCTCAGCATTAAAGGTAACATTATATATTTGGTTCTTTCGGTAAAGTCACGTAGAAGGGAAACAATAAAATAATAAAAAAGACTTGTATTTTACTGTTATTTTAACATGTATTTATTTTATGTCATTGTGCATTTAATTTGTGTTTAGTGAAGAAACGGGCATCTTTGGCTTTGACGAGTGTGGCTGCTGCCACGGTTGCCCTGAATCCGCATTTCGAATAAGGCCTTAAGTCTTGCCAAGCACGGCGGTTTTCGGGAACGTAACCCCCGCGGTTGGCGAGGGATTGCCGAATGTACATACATATTTGTACCGCCCACGAGACCAGACTCAATTCGCCACTCCGACAATTCACCAGTCACTCGCCTGACTCACCAGACACCTCGCCATTTGGTAGACCCACCACACTACTCTGCTGGAACGCAGCAAACATCACCCACCACTCACTTGACACCAACCACCAGCCTCATTGTTTCCATACACCAGACCAACCGATTAGTCACCAAACCCACACACCTATAACAACATCAAGATTTTTAATATATATTACAACCACGCACCAGACCACTGCATGAATGCACAACATTCCAGTACACACCCTTACACCATTAAGCTGGACACCATACCACAGATCCACGAAACGACACCTTCATCTCCAACTGCGCTCCACCAAACACCACACCACGACATGAATGCATGGCACCACACCATACTACTGTATTACTTTACATTACCCCACTATGATACAGACTACACCACTTCTGTACACTACACTATTTAACTGCGCGACTGAACACAATACTACACAACACAAAACCCATTGTATAATTGATGGATTTTCCTTACTCTCATTCACTTACTCATTACTCCCTCCTTCACTCATTCACCGACGCAATTCTGCCACTCTTCACAGATTTACTCAGCAGAACATTTGATTATGCAATGTACATAAGTCCTTTGGTGTACATATACACAGATTTGTTTTAGATTTTAAAAAAAGTGTTTCAGGTAAAACGTATCCTTCCCATCATTTTCATTCTTACCTCATAACACTCATTCATTCGCTCACTCCCAACTATATCCCAGCCTCCCATGCAGACTGTCCGGGACCTCCCACTGTGCTCCCTGATGCTCTCCGACTCCAGCCATTGCTAAGGATGCCTGTTGTTGGGATGCCTGTTGGTAGACTGATGGCCGGGCCTTCCTACTAGCAGCAAAACATGTTTATTTACGATGTACACAAGTGATTTATTAGGCTTCTCGGGTTTTGAATTTTGCAGTCCTCAAGCGTTTTTTGTTCCACGCCCATAACTCGGAAAAAACAGGTCGTAGATAAACACTTTTTGTACATCTTCAGTCAGACTTAAAATCAATATAAAATGTCTACACTATCTTGAAAAATGTGGATATGTATAAGGTTCGTTAAAAATGCCAAATACCTACAGCAGGATATGTTTTGACATGGATTACTATAATACATTCATTTTTCAAAACACATTTTCACCATGAATTGTGTGACCCATTTGCTAGATTTAAGTAAATGTCTAATAATTCACGTTCAGGTGGAGGAAGGGTCTCTGGTGTGGCAGAGATCTCAAAGTCTGATGATCCCTGCGAGTCTTGTGGCACAGAGCTCTTTCCACACACACAGTCTTTGCTGGCGATGTTTGTATGCTCCATGCAGCCTTGACTATTTTCAGGTGGTAATATTTCTGTTAGACCATTATTTCTCGTTGTACACAACTGTTTAGTTTCTGATAATTTAACATTTCCACATTTGATATCCTCAATATCTGACTTAGCAAGCAATGCCATTGCACTGTGGTCTAATGGAATATCGAAATGTGTTCCTGAATGCATAGCTTGCATTTGGGTTATTCCTTCACTTTGAGGACGAACACTAGTGAAGTTGAAATCTTGAGAACTTAAAATTTCTGTTTCCGTCACATCGGAAATGTGTGTAGAATCAGATTGTTGGGAGCATTGTTTACAGCTGCTTGCACAATCATCTGTGTCCGAGTCTGAAAATAGTACAGGGGTGCCAGGGTTGTCCATGGTGTCTGCATATTGACAGCAACCACTATCACTCTCAGCAACAGCAGCAACAGCAGCAGGAGCAGCAGCTGTGGAAAAGAAGGCACCCCAAGTAAGTTCGGGACTGATTGTTGCAATATTGTTGCTTGCGTCTTTGCAGTCAGCATCGTCGTTTTGGACAACAGAGGTGTGCTCCTTGGTCGATATTTCATTGCAGGTTCCATTTGCCTGTCTTCCAGTGCTGTCTGCATTTTTACTGGGTGTGCTGCAGGGAGGTTCATCAGCATTCTGTACTTTTTTTCGACGGGCAGGTGGCTCTGGCGTATCATCAAAAAGATCCAGGAGGCAACTTTCTGAAAAGAAAAGTCATAATGCATTGTAATGATGTGTGCAATGTATTATATAGTTATATGAACTAATTTGTTTCAGAGACTTGAACATTTGTTTAAGCACTACAAATGTTGCTGTTATAAAATTACGGAATAAGTATGTAATTCGGAAGTGGTATGCAAAATAATAATTTTACCTGCATCACTGATAGATCTTTTTGCACACTCCAGAGATCCTAGTGGCTGGTAATCTGACTCTGCGGAATTCGGCTCTTGATAGCAGTACGATCGTAGCCTGACAGTTGTTAAGATAAAACGGAAATTGCATTAGTGTGAAAGCATGTTTGTATGTAATATATCTTTATTTTAAGTGCTGTGTGTAAATAACTGTTAATGTTTAAAAACTGCTTTCACAATGCTTACATCTCTTTGATATCTTCCACAGTTTTGCCCTTTGGAATGACGTTTGGAAAAATGTTGGCAGGCTTAATGTAGGATATGAAGTCTTCTATCTGCAAAAAAAAAATGCCTCATTCACAATGCAAGTAGCATGTCAGTTACTTGAGCTACGTTTGTCCTGAATGTTGTGTACCTCGCTGAAGGAAGAGTGGAATGAAAAGCAAGCTCTGTATGATGATTCCCCAGTCCTACAAATAAAAAGAAAAGTCACTGTTTTTAATTATTAGCATATTACATCATACATATAAACAACCACATGTATCTGATGCCTTTGTATGATCCAAAAATATATTTTTTCACCTCACGATGATTTTGGTTTTCTTGCTTCTCTGTGTGAACCACATGGTTGAAGGTTTGATGCTCATCATGTGAAGTGGCTTTCCTTTGGCATCTTTTTCTCTGCACGGGAGACGGCGTCCTTCACAAATCCCAGCATCCTGAACACGGCAGAATGAATGTTAAAAATCCCAAGAATGCATATTAACAAAATCATACAGTGAGGGAAAAAAGTATTTGATCCCCTGCTGATTTTGTACGTTTGCCCACTGACAAAGAAATGATCAGTTTACAATTTTAATGGTAGGTTTATTTGAACAGTGAGAGACAGAATAACAACAAAAAAATCCAGAAAAACGCATGTCAAAAATGTTATAAATTCATTTGCATTTTAATGAGGGAAATAAGTATTTGACCCCTCTGCAAAACATGACTTAGTACTTGGTGGCAAAACCCTTGTTGGCAATCACAGAGGTCAGACGTTTCTTGTAGTTGGCCACCAGGTTTGCACACATCTCAGGAGGGATTTTGTCCCACTCCTCTTTGCAGATCTTCTCCAAGTCATTAAGGTTTCAAGGCTGACGTTGGCAACTCGAACCTTCAGCTCCCTCCACAGATTTTCTATGGGATTAAGGTCTGGAGACTGGCTAGGCCACTCCAGGACCATAATGTGCTTCTTCTTGAGCCACTCCTTTGTTGCCTTGGCTGTGTGTTTTGGGTCATTGTCATGCTGGAATACCCATCCACGACCCATTTTCAATGCCCTGGCTGAGGGAAGGAGGTTCTCAACCAAGATTTGACGGTACATGGCCCCATCCATCGTCCCTTTGATGCGGTGAAGTTGTCCTGTCCCCTTAGCAGAAAAATACCCCCAAAGCATAATGTTTCTACCTCCATGTTTGACGGTGGGCATGGTGTTCTTGGGGTCATAGGCAGCATTCCTCCTCCTTCAAACACGGCGAGTTGAGTTGATGCCAAAGAGCTCCATTTTGGTCTCATCTGACCACAACACTTTCACCCAGTTTTCCTCTGAATCATTCATGTTCATTGGCAAACTTCAGACGGGCATGTATATGTGCTTTCTTGAGCAGGGGAACCTTGCGGGCGTTGCAGGATTTCAGTCCTTCACAGCGGAGTGTGTTACCAATTGTTTTCTTGGCGACTATGGTCCCAGCTGCCTTGAGATCATTGACAAGATCATCCCGTGTAGTTCTGAGCTGATTCCTCACCGTTCTCATGATCATTGCAACTCCACGAGGTGAGATCTTGCATGGAGCCCCAGGCCGACGGAGATTGACAGTTCTTTTGTGTTTCTTCCATTTGAGAATAATTGCACCAACTGTTGTCACCTTCTCACCAAGCTGCTTGGCAATGGTCTTGTAGCCCATTCCAGCTTTGTGTAGGTCTACAATCTTGTCCCTGACATCCTTGGAGAGTTTGGAATCTGATTGATTGATTGCTTCTGTGGACAGGTGTTTATTATACAGGTACCAAGCTGAGATTAGGAGCACTCCCTTTTAGAGTGTGCTCCTAATCTCAGCTCGTTACCTGTATAAAAGACACCTGGGAGCCAGAAATCTTTCTTATTGAGAGGGGGTCAAATACTTATTTCCCTCATTAAAATGCAAATAAATTTATAACATTTTTGACATGCGTTTTTCCGGATTTTTTTGTTGTTATTCTGTCTCTCACAGTTCAAATAAACCTACCATTAACATTATAGACTGATCATTTCTTTGTCAGTGGGCAAACGTACAAAATCAGCAGGGGATCAAATACTTTTTTTCCCTCACTGTATCTGCCATCAATAACTTGCCTGAAGAACATTTTAATCGGTTATATGACCTGCCATGACACGGACCCAAGTAAAAAGAAACAAAAGCTGAAAAGTGCAAAAAAAGTATGGAGACGCATGCTTATAATTCCATTGAGAAAAACAGGAATGCATAAATTAGAGAGTGAATGCGAATCGAAGGCATATCGGCCATTACGGAAATTGGACTTGTTCACAATGCATAGCTAGTAGTGGTGATGGGCAATGATTGTATTGGTGGTAGAATGGCAACCAAAGGAAAGAATAAACAGAAAAGGATGTTCACCATGTAAGTGGAGCAATGAGAAGTTCACGTGGAGGACTGAGATTAATTGCGGCATTGCAAGGCTACAAGGAATAGCGATGGACTGGAGAGGCCTGCAGTGGATAGACTATTGATGACGATGATGACAAATGTAATGTGCCAACATATCTACACTTGTAAGGACGAGTTTATGACGCAGGTTACATAAACATGCTTGCTTTGAAGAAGATGTTGCAGTCTTTTTGTAAGCCTGATAAACAGTTGCTGGTGATGTTTGAAGTATGGCACCTTTGGAATACGGCAGGCGTGGATCTGAGTATTGCTGTCATGAGTCACATGATCCAAAATATCAGGCATGTTCTGAAACATCTCCAGGTACCCCAGGTGCACCTACCACACACGCACACACACACAAGTCTCAGTGCACAATTGGTACCAGGAAATATAAAGCTTAATAGGCGGATCCTTATATTTTGATGTTATAACCTGTCTTTTTATAGATGTCATATCAAGTATCTTCAGCATATCTTTATTTTCCCTTCAATAATGCAATTATCAATGCAACATCGAATGGAAACAGCATAAAAGTGATAACGTCATGTGGTTAATGGATGGACGTTTTGTCAAGTGAATTAAATGGACTTCATTGGAAGTTATTACTGTGTCATTTTGATGAAAAAAATATTTTAAGGTATTTTCACGTATTTTCTTAACATGTGTGTAGAGATTCCCCATATATGCCAAGTATGACATGTACTATCTTATGAAAGTCAGAGATTAGTGGATTCTGAGATGTGTTAAAATGTTGGATTTTGAAGACAAACTTGACACCATTGGTGAACCATCTATTTAATGCTTTAATAAGGAATGCCACAACAATCAATCCCATACCTTTTGACCAAACTCTCGGCTCAAGTGAGTGAAGAGGTATTCATAGCCATAGGCTGCCTTGCAGTTCAGCCAGATCACATGTTGGGGGCTTTGTGTAATCCATCCCCGGACCAGATTTAAAATTCCTTTTAAACAATCTTCCTGTAAAAACATAATGTAATTACATTTTACGTCAAATTTACATTTTAAATGTTAAGTGTAATAAATATAGGTATTATAGGGCATATCTTACCCGGCTTGGAATGTAGTAGCACATTGGGTCACAAAATGTGGTATCTAAATATATGCTTTTGATACGTTTAATCCTGAAATAAAAAAAAGATATACAATGACACGTTAGATATGTTAGATATCAGTGTTAATAGCCGTAAGAAAACTGTAATAAAACATAAAAAATCCACGTTAAATTAAAGTGAGCAAATATATATAAGCCATAATTGTGAATGCCACGATTGAGCTGTGGAACCCTTGAATTTGACATTACCCATCAACAATGTTGTGAGGACTAGGCATTGATATGCTGGAGCACTGTGTGGTGCACACAGCACTTGCCTGCCAGCTAAGTGCAGAGCCCCCATGCGGGAAACCCCTCCACGAGGCAGCCGGAAATCACCCGTGTAAAGCACCGCCCCATGGTCCCCTTCAAACAGGAACCTGCAAAGAGAACGATCTGTACAATTGATCATATGGAGATATGTCTATCATGCCACTTACAAATCAAGAACCAAAGGTAGAACAAGGCACAATACACCATGAATATTTAAATAAATTCAACTCTTGCAAATGAAGGTTAAGAGTTTTGAGAGATAATTATCTTACTTGTGATGTAGGCAATGTTTTTTGTGATTGGCATGAAGACATTCCAATGTGTGACATTTACTTTTTGCTGCAATGACCATGTGCCAATTAGTAAGGTTCATCAGCAAATTGGTCTATCCGAATGCTCAATTGTTGTTAACAGTGCACTAAATTTAAACGTAATCATCGTAATAACTATGAATGTCTATGTGCAACGCTCACATGACGGAGCCTGGGCAGTGACCCGCCGGAAGAAGTGTAACCACCAAATCTGTTTTCTGAAAAATAGAAAAATAAATATACTGTATTAAGTTAAAAGTAATCATCTGGCCAAATGTTAAATGTACAAACATGTTATTGTGGGTGTTTCGTGGGGGATTCGTGTGCAGTTGCAGGAAGTTACTTGTTTCGTTTTATCATCCATCAGGGAAATCTGGGTCGCAGTGTCCACTTCAATCGCCACCTTCAACAATGCACATTAGTTAGTCAGTGTTTCATTTCCATACTTTACGTGCCATAATACGTTTAATAACTCAGAAATGTGTGTGCATGGTGGCCGTTAATATTAACTTACCGTAAACCGTTCAAGGAAACGATACCTCCAGTTGCTAAGCAGAAGCTCCCGGGTGACAGGTGAGCAGTAGAGATGCACACCTGGGCTGAGAAATACTGGTTGGTGAGTGACTTTACCGAGCTGAACTGCATTACCACATCAATTATCAAAGTGAAATATCTCCGTGAAAAATTCTGCATTCAGATTATAAATCATCGTGCAAAATTCAACATCAATGTGTGTGCAGTGTCAAAGTTGTGTTGTTAACATAAGTTGGAGTAAAATGGAACCGACAGTCACACTAGTAACAATTAAAGATAGCATACTACAGTTTCTGATTTACATTAACATATATGACTGCATTATTATCGAGCATGTAATACAAATTACCTTCTCTCAAGCTTTTTTCTCAGTGCTTCCGAATATAATCCCACCATATGATCTGGATCAAAAACAAAAATACCCCAACGTGTCAATGTATTCAATTACAAGTGACTACTAAACAGTAACATTGCTGTAATTTATTTGATATGTCAGTAAGATATGAAATAATGCACGTAATGTATTAAGATGTCTTAATTTCATGAATATATTAGGTCAGTTACGAAAAAAAATATTGTTGGTTTCATCTACAATATCATTAATACAATCTGTTTTTGGTATAACTGATGTAACATGTTTGTGAAATTGTGCCTAACGAAGCTTAAAACTCGTGGACAGCTTATTTAGTTCCTGTTAAAGAGATATATAGACGGTACATTCTGCATAGTTGCCTACAACCGGTTGCGCCTGATCTGGTTGGATCCTGGAAGGCAAGCAGAGTTGGGCCTGGTTAGTACTTGGATGGGTGACTGCCTTGGTTTAGGCTTGGGCTGTGACATGGCCAGATGGAAGTGCAGCAATTGATGCTTTAATGATTGTTCCACCCTTGTCATGGGTGCAATATCTATGGGTGCCCCGCTTTCCTTATATATGCTAAACAATTATTGATGCAATTGTCCAAAGAAACCAATGAAGGGCCCTTCTGAAAAAAGACTATCGACTGGGTACAGCATTCCTCGGTTAAAATGGCATTATGGGTATCATTACGTCTTGAGATGCACTTGCATTCAAACAAAAAATCATCGTTAGTATTTATTATCCGCGGGACTATTCTATTTGCTGCCAGAACCTATCCACAGGGAATTCTGTCATTCGCGGGACAAGTAGCACGGATGAGGGTCATACCTGTCAACCCCCTTATCGGTGCCCATCTTATTACAGACCAATTCCAACTCTATTGGTCACCCCGTGCGCTTATAAATCTCAAAGTTCATCCTACAAAGTGCCATTACAAGGGAGAAACACAAACAAATTGACAAAAAGACAGTTTTTTGCCGGTTTTGAAACGGCTGTACGCCGTGTGGACCTGAAAACTAAATTCCCACGGACAAGAATACGGGCTAAACCGTATGGGTTGACAGGTTTGGAGGATTTCACCCGGAACTGGTAGAGACTCAGACATCATCCGCGATGGCCCGAGATCTCCTGTCGCGACTTGATGATGGTGGCGGCGATAAAGCAGAATCTGATGCTGCTGATAAGAATGATCATGGGGCGGATAAACTCTGATAACAGAAGAGTAATTCGCTACCACTTTCCAGGGGGTAACATAGGGGCCGTCCATAAATGACGTCACGCACCTGTGGGGGGGGGGGGTCAGACATTTGTGACGATGTGTGACGAGGGTTGGGGGGGGTCTGAGAAATGTGACGTCACATCAAAATACGCAACTTTAAAATACAGACAACAAGTTCTACTTAATTAAATATACTTTATGTTTTATCCTACATCAGAGTGCAGCGCCACATTAAATACGCACTACAATGATAATAGTTTAAAGCGATTTGAGGCATGTTTTATATTTTTTGGGGGAGGGGGCAGAGCTTTGTGACGTCATATTTGAGGGGGGTCTGACTTTTGTGACGCCGTGTGACTAGGGGGGGGTCAAAAATCGTCCAAAATCACATGACGTCATTTATGGACGGCCCCATATCCGCGAAACAGCCGCGGATAACAGGAAGAAACACATTCTTGGTTCTTTCGGTAAAGTCACGCAGAAGGAAAACAATAAAATATAAAGCAAAAACATTTTTTTTGCTGTGGTTTTCACACCTGATTATGATTGCTTGTGTTGCAGTCGAAACATCGTGACAATTTTATTGTTTTATATTATTTTATTGTTTCCCTTCTACGTGACTTTACCGAAAGAACCAAGAATATGAATCCCTGCAGTCACGAAAGCTTTAAATCAAAATAGGAAGAAACACTTTAAAGATATCCTGCAGACTCAGCTTTGAATTTTGAATGTGTCCACGCGGACTATCCCTTTTTTGCAATTTCCTTTACAAAGGAGACCCGTAGTGATGTTGTTGTTGAATACAGTAGCAACGAAAACGTCAATGTAACAGAGAACGAATACATGATGTTGAGGGAATTACACAATACTACTAAGGGCAGTTGCGCACAGCACGAGTTTCCACGGACACACATTCACGTCGACTATTTATAATATACACTGCTGGACGTTTGCCAAAAAGAGCTTTATAGCTCAGCGGATTCCTCCAGTATAACATTCGGATTATACGCTTTGGTTCTTTCGGTAAAGTCACGTGGGTAGAAAAAACACAAAAGTTCACGACGTTTCGGTCACAACAACAAGCCACCGTCTTCAGGCGCGAGAGAATATATATCACGCCTCGTCCACATGCACTCCGATTCTTCTCTCGCCTCAAGACGATCGAAACGTCGTGATCTGTTGTCATTATTTATTTACCGAAAGAACCAAACAGTATGGGATTCCCGCAGTCACGACAGATTGAACATTCTCACTAATTCTGAATGTTGACTCCGGCGTTGAGAGAGGGGCAGCAGCAGCATTATTAATCCGCTCCCGGTACTCGGCCGGTTGCCGTTCGTTCGTCGACTCACCCTGGTGGCAGTGAGACAGAAAGAAAGCTCTGGCGTCGACGTTGTCTCTGTCGAAGCGGTCAATGGACACGGATGGATACTCCGCGGTTTTGCCGAGGAACGAACTCATGGCGGAAGCCCTCGTCGAGACCGTCAGTCGCTCTCCTCACCACCACCACCCCCGCCGCCACACGCAGTTGTTGATACAAGCGCGTGGGCAGCGCACGAACCGCTGCGAAAACAAAACTGCAGACGCTCGCACATCTTAATCTTTGAACGATGCACGCCGTCGAGCACACTGGGAGATTTTAAACGGAAGGCAGAGAGAGTACTTTCCACTGTGGACGCTGTCGTTTAAGCGTTCCTAAATCGGAGAAATAAGCAGCGACGACTGCACGAACTCTCTCCCTGAAGCCAATGCCGCCGTGACCAGCAGGACCAAGAACACTGCCGGTACATTCAGCAGTAAATAGTAAGACGCGTTTTCAGAGGAGGGTGACACAGCTGCGCCCACAGGACATCACCGGTGTGAGGGGCCCGCCACGTTTGAAACCAACGGGGATCGACAGCAGTAGCAGCAGCACACTGATGGGGTGTTGACACATTTGTGTTCAGTATTGGTCGCGATGAAGGCGACCAAGGGCCCGTGGGCCTTGCAATGGACTATCTGAAAACGAAATTACATTGCATTAAATTGATATAAAAGTTATATTGCGTTAAAATTGTATTATGTCGACGGCGTTTCGGGCAATGATTTAGGGTGGGCCCCCTCTTGCAGCACACACCCCCTGGCGGAGCGCGCAAAAAGCTCGTCAGCCAATCAGAACGTCAGCTCGCGCCGCTCGTCAGCCAATCAAACACATCAGCTCGCTCGCGCGGCTCGTCAGCCAATCACAAACGTCGGCCCGCTCGCGGGCTCCTCAGCCAATCAGGAACGTCGGCTCGCTTGCGGGCTCGTCAGCCAATCAAAGGCGGCGTCACAACCGCCACCTCCTCGCCTCTCCCCCGCCCTCTCGTAAGTAATGGCGACGCAGATTGGTTGATGTTGGTACCAAGCCGCCTAGCAATGCGACTCCCCATTGGCGAAGCGCGAAGGTTGCCCCCGGTTACCGCCATCGCCTAGCAACGGCTTCGTAAACAACCTGACAACGTAACCTGACAACGGCGCTTCCTCTCGCCCGGCAACACTTCCCGAGTGGCTTTACGCGCTTGCAACGGCAAGAAAGGTATTTTTGTTTGGATAAAAAAATGTTGGCTTGATTGAACAGCTTAATAATGTCTCGTTGCTGGTATGGTCGTTGCTGGTTTGTCTCGCGTGTTTATAATCGCAAAGTTTTGAACGCGCAATGGCGCCCTGTTGGAGTTGACTGTCGCTCGCTGTAATAAAGTAGGCACTCGAGCGGTGGCGGCAGTGGTTAGCAACACACACTCTGTGCAATGAACCCGAGTTCGGCCACGGGATAACACAAGTGGCTAGTAATATATGAAACGGCGTACTGGTGAAGCTAGAATTATCAAACAGAGTCAGAATATTTATACTGGATGAATCCGATAAGCTATAAAGCTCTTTTTCACATGTCCAGTGATCGACAAGGCGTGACGAAGGGGCCTTCATTTAATTGTCGATTCACAATATATTATCGTATATATACACCAGAACAATAATAATAACATTCCGTGTTTATATACCCGGCGTTGCCCGGGCCAAAATAATATTTAAAAAGTACTCTTAAAAATCTAACAGCAGTGCGTACTGACTGTGGTGGTACCTGCTATCACTACAGCAATACATGCTGACTCTATAGCAGTATTTATCGACTTTATAGCACAAAGTACTGACCTGGCAGAGTGGCGTGGTGAGGCCTAGTCCCATGCAGAGCCTCCGGCCTCGCCTAGATTGTCCAGCCGGCCGAGGTGGCACCTTGGCAGGCTGGAGCTGCTGGACTGCTACCCCTGACCCCCCCCCCCCCCCCCCCACAAGGCTACGATCTCCCCGGCCGCTCTGCAGTAATATCTAGGGCCGAAAGTGGTAGCATGTAGCGACTATAAAGTCGTAATGACTGCACGCATCGGGGTGGGGGGGGGGGCATCACACAGTGAAGAATGAACGTGGGCGTTTAGTGTATTTTTATAGCATTTTTAACGCGAAAGAAAATGTCCCCTTCACTCCCACCGAAGGCGTGCGACTTGGCATAGGCCGTCCCTCGCACCAATGGCGAGTGAGTTGGTATGGTCAAGAAGAGACCTGATGGCTCGCTGGGACATTCGGTCTACAGGAAAGCCACCCACACGGATGCCTATCTAAAGCCTGACTCCCACCACCATCCAGCCCAGAATAATTCCCTCATCAAAACACTACACCATAGGGGCCGTTGCATCTCCGACCAGCACCACCTAGCTAGTGAGTTGGAGCACGTACACCAAGCCCTCAAGATGTACGGATACTCGGACCGTACAATCCGCAAAGCTGCCTCCCCAGTCATGCGGAGATAACCTTCTGAGGTTCCAACCGAAACCATCACTTTACCATACATAGCAGAGGTTACCAAAAAGATTTCCAAAAATCTTAAACAAACACATTATCCAGGTTCGTTTCAACACAGTACACAAAATCCGTGATTTAATCCCATCTGTAAAGGATGTGATTCCTGACATGCAATACCCTGGTGTCTACAAACTGAGTTGTGGTTGTGGCAGCAGTTACATTGGGGAAACGAAACAACATGTCTCGGACCACGTACATGAACACAAGGCAGATCTGAAACACGTTAGGACCAATCCCTCTGCTGTTGCTGATCATTGTTTTAATGCTGTGGGCTCGCACGAAATTTATTTTTCCAAGACGGAGGTACTCTGCAAACCTACCGGCTACCTTCAGAAATTTGTTAATGAAGCCATCCAGATATATAAACACAGACAGAACTTCATCCGAGAAGATGGGTACAAACTGAGCAATCATTGGAAGGACGCTATTAACCAGGTAAAGTCTTAACTGACTGTGATGTTTCCATCCTACCTGCCTATGTCAGCTGTTATTTCCGACTATGTGTCTCTCTCTCTCTCTCTATGCCTCTTTCTTAGATCTCTCACATGTCCTTTGGATTGCACTCTCATGCTCACATGTCCTTTGGATTGCACTCTCATGCTCACATGTCCTTTGGATTGCACTCTCATGCTCACATGTCCTTTGGATTGCACCTCTCATGCTCACATGTCCTTTGGATTGCACTCTCATGCTCACATGTCCTTTGGATTGCACTCTCATGCTCACATGTCCTTTAGATTGCACTCTCATGCTCACATCTCCTTTGGATTGCACCTCTCAGGCTCACATGCCCTTTGGACTGCACTCTCATGCTCACATGTCCTTTAGATTGCACTCTCATGCTCACATGTGCTTTGGATTGCACTCTCATGCTCACATGTCCTTTGGATTGCATTCTCATGCTCACATGTCCTTTAGATTGCACTCTCATGCTCACATCTCCTTTGGATTGCACCTCTCAGGCTCACATGTCCTTTGGATTGCACTCTCATGCTCACATGTCCTTTGGATTGCACTCTCATGCTCACATGCCCTTTGGATTACACTCTCATGCTCACATGTCCTTTGGATTGCACCTCTCAGGCTCACATGTCCTTTGGATTGCACCTCTCAGGCTCACATGTCCTTTAGATTGCACTCTCATGCTCACATCTCCTTTGGATTGCACTCGCATGCTCACATGTCCTTTGGATTGCACCTCTCATGCTCACATGTCCTTTGGATTGCACTCTCATGCTCACGTGTCACTAGGATTACACTATCATACTCACATGTCCTTTGGATTGCACTCTCATGCTCACATGTCCTTTGGATTACACTCTCATACTCACATGTCATTTGGATTGCACTCTCATGCTCACATGCCCTTTGGATTGCACTCTCATGCTCACATCTCCTTTGGATTGCACCTCTCAGGCTCACACGCCTTTTGGATTGCAATGTCATGTTCACGGTGCTAATCTCTAATTAACACTGCTGTTGTGCGCATATGCGGGCATGATACTCTTATGCGGCAGCGGAAGCTCATTCATGCTAACTTCCCTCCCTAATCCCTCTCTCCCTAATCTCCCCCATTAACACAACTGACGTGCTTGAGTCCGTGAATGGAATTCATTTCCAGCTCAGACCCCGCTTGCTTGCCCATCGCCACATATATAAACCTTGTTGTAACTGCTCTCTCGCTGGTTCAGCAGTTCCACTGCTTGATTCTATTTTTGCCGCCTGAGGACGACCGCTTGTGTTGCGATGGAAACGTCGTGATTTATTTTATTTTATACCTACGTGACTTTACCGAAAGAACCAAAGAGTATAAATAAAAGGTAAGCGCACAAAAATCGCTTGCTTCACCGCAAGCGCTTGCACACCGCAGGGCTTACGGCGTGGTACCTGGTTGTTATTTTTTTTTAACGTAAACCCCACCGTTGTAGAGGCAAATCGTTCGCAAGCGTGCGAACACACAAACCCACAAACAAACCCACAAACAGACAATTTTGGACTTTTATATAGATACCTATATAGATACATAAACCTTTAAGGACACACCAAATACAAAGACCCCCCCTTATAACCTGTTGGGGCAAGTGCTGTTTGCAATCACCTATGAAACTGAATTGAAGGGGGTTATGTGTTCAACTCCACAACTGACCGATGTTTATCTGAGTCGATCTAGTGATTCCCAAAATAGGTTCCTATACTACAGTACTTAGGACCATATTGGTGCTTTATGAGGCCCAGAATCGAACGGAGAATTAAATGTGAGCTTCACAAACGACGACGAAAATGTTAGAATATGTTATTGCTCTTTATTTATGTTTACATGTAATTGTGTATATTTGTGTGAATGTTGGAATATTCTGTAGGCGGAAGTCGTTCCGTGATGAATCCGAAGACAATGAGCCGAGCAAGGTCGTGGAGCGAGGTGGTGGAGGACCTTTACCGCTTCCAGCAGGCGGGCTACCGTGACGAGACGGAGTACCGCCTCGTCAGGAATGTGGCCGAGGTCAACTGCAATGGCACACTCAAGCCAAGCCGCCACATACATGACCATAGCTGTGAAAACCCATACGGGTTACCCCTATTCTTGTACAGGGAAATTGAGTGTCCAGGTCCATACGGCGTACAGCCGTTTCAATACGGGCAAAACATTTTTTTGTCTATTTGTGTTTCTCCCTTTTGATGGGACTTTGGAGGATGAACGTTGAGATTTATAAGGGCATGGGGTGACCAATAAGGTCTGAAATAAAGTAGGCACTGATAATTATCAATAAAGTAGGCACTGATATATGGGTTTGACAGGTATGCATTACAGTACATATTTTGTATACGTTGGATATAAGCAACTAATGTTTGACATTATATTGGTGGAGGAAGCAAAAGGTATCTGCTGATGTAAACACACCTTGAGCTTGCTTTCAAGGTGTGTACTGTTACTGGTGTCTGAATGCAACTGCATCTGAAAACTATGTACAATTATCGTGGGGCACAGGGCCTACTGATGAAGCAGGCTTATGGTATATATTTCTAAAATAAGGTATAAATGACAACACTTTTATACAACACAACCAGTCATAGATGGCAAAGCGCAATGACATTTAGGAACACAATAACAGAGGCAGGCAGTGTAAGTCAGGAGCACAGATTGCCAGGGGAGGGAATTCTAGGTAATGATGGCAGCAGCAGAGAAGCACCAGCCACTCATCTGTGGTCGAAGTTATTTTTTTGTGAAAGGGTCTTGCTTGCTGGAGTGAAGAGCACGTTAAGCGTGGTAGAGCGAGACGCGAGCAAAGAGGTTAGCAGGAGCGAGCCTATGGGAGGTTCTTGAGTAAGGCGAGAGCGATTTGTAATTGACTGAAGTTTTACGTGATGTGGTCGCTACACACTTTCCCACGTGTTTTTGAAATTTGGCTTACACCCATCTTTTCCGGCAGACTGATGTGCTTTGTTTTTATTGTCATTAAATAGGCAAACAAAACCTAATCGCTGTTATTTAGTATGTGCGTATCATTGGTGCATGTGCTGGGATGATACAATTGTAAGCTTCGTTAATTATTAAAAAAGTATAACTGGCTGTCAGTCGCACCATTGCATAATTCATCACTTAAATTGTATGTGCCAATTGAATGACCTCACTGGAGCACTTGACTATAACTTAAGTCGATTTACCTAATTTTCGAAGCTTCATACCTATGTCAAACATCCAGTAAGTATTTACAAGATACAAACCATGTGTTGTGTCTTCCTGTGATTACTAATACATTAGTTACAACTGCACTACGAATGCCGGAAAACACAGTTGCATTATATACAATTTAAGACGTCATTTACATTGTATTTTCCATAAATAAAGATGTACGTCTTCACTACTGGTACCATCACCAGGTGCTGAACAAAGGAGACGCATTTGTGTAACGTGTGGTTCACGCTTGTGTTAATGTTTGCAGGTGGACCGCTGGCCAGACACAGGCTACGTGAAAAAACTTCAGAGGCGTGACAACACGTTCTATTACTACAACCGCCAGAGGGAGTGTGAGGACAAGGAGGTTCACAAAGTCAAGGTGTATGCCTACTGAGAATGGGTCTACTTTCATGACAGCTCCATGTATCATATTGATTGCCTCTACATCTACTTTGAAGTAATGTAAATGTGAAATGCTTTTATTAGGATCATTGGTAGAACTGCCTTAGCGAATCTCACTTGCTTTGTTTTTTTAAATGTGGATTACAGATTATGTTGACCTCATTGATATAAATAATGCATGTACTAATGGTGACTTGTTAATAAATTCATACTTAAATGTTGTTGAATATATTTTTTAATCGACATGTGATGATATCTATCATAAACCCACGTGCGCTCCACCAATTAAAAAAAAACATTTGTGGTTAAAGCGATCTGCTAGCACAGTACACACCACTATGCAAAACAGCAATAACAACAGCATGCCTGGCACCTCCCCATGTAACCATAGAAGATGCAACATGTGCATCTTCACATCAACTGATATATGGACCAAAACACCCATAGCATAATTTATGACACTCTACGTTTACATGCACCAATGTGGCTCATTGCATCATCACGTGCAAACCCCACTGTGGCCTTTGCTAAATTGGCGTTCGATGTGTCCAACATCTTCTATCAACTAGCCATGCAGATATGCCAAAAGCAGTGGCGTGTCACTTCAACAGTGGGGACCATAACTCCAGTAAAATGTCAGTGCGTGGTGACTGTCTTTTTCTCTGGTGGATATGACAGCAACAAAAGGCCATCTCATTCAAACTGAATACCGTTCAGCCAGAAAGACGGGATGAATGCCTCATTAACTTAATACATAGTTGAATAAATGGCTGCAGGTCAAACCTTATAATTTTTGGTTGAATATATGGAACACATAAATGTACGTAACATTTTATTTTTCAGTAATACAGTATTGGACAGCAAATGGTGAAAGGACACTCAAACGAGTTTTAAATTGGCTCCCATAAATTCCTCTACCCTGCTTGCAAGGCTCAGGAAGATAAACCACGTTATGCTATGAATAAGGGCCTTTGACCAAAACGTCGGCCGCTATGTCTTCCATTTACGATTTTAAGGCGACTGTTATCGACGAATGTTTTTTTTTTAATTTGTGCCAGGGGAACCACTGCCAGCGCAGCAGCATCACCAAATAACTTGCTTAGGTTTAGAACTTTAGATAGCGTGACTACAGGGTGGCACTATGACAATTGTTAAGCGTGAAAAAGGGGGGGGGGCGGGGTGTTCATTGAGAAAAGTTGGCCTCGGTGGAGCAAACCCCACCTCCAGCCACTTACAGAAGAGCCTCGCCCCACGGAAGAGGCGCAGTAACACGTGAAAGCAGGGTCCGCGTTGGTGGGGTGCGTGTTCGTTTAAACGTTGAATTAAACAGCTGACTTTGACTGAAGACCACTCTTGTGACACGCCGGGAGGTGAATGGTCCCACCAACATGTGGACGCTACGGGCTGCCTCCACTTGCTGTGGTCTGAAAGGAGGACTTTTTGTTGGAGCCTTCTTATTAACTTCACATTTACTGCTGGCCTCAGCACAGTCCGTGTGTTCGCCGGTAAGATGCGAAGGAACTCGTGTTTTTAGTTGTTGATGTTATTTTCGAATTTGTATAATGAAGACGTGTGATTATTTGTGTCTCCCACGTAGTGTTACGGATTTATCCGTCTTGACCTGTACTACATGCACATTGACATTTAAAATACAGCACATTTAAATGTATGAATGTCAATGATATGTATTGTGTGTGCTAATAAGAAAGGTGGTTGGTTATGTTTTACTGTCATACGAATGTGTATTTCCTTTTAAATCTTCAAGGTTAGTTTGATCAGTTTTGACGCTACATTGTTTGAGTTTTACTTATGAATTGTGGCGCTAGGCAAATTAAACAATGCGTTCAGTTCCTTAGAACAGGAACTACAGGAAATGAATTCCTTAAACACTCTGGACGACGTGTCAACACAACGTGTATTTATATTGCAATGCTTTGATAGGGCTTACACGTTATTTTAAATTCTTACATTATGTAACGTGCACTGCGGTATATTGCACATGACACACACCAAGACGTGTGATTACGCTTACTCTAGTGCAGCCAATGGAAATGAACTGCAGGAAATTATTTAAGTTCGTGAAGACGGCTGCGAAGTTGATTAAAATAGTAAAGCCATGCACAACAAGTTCGCGAAATAAATTAACATGCAGTATATGTTAGAGGAACAACTAAACCAAAGCAAGAGTAGGGATAACGTAGAACACCATTAAAAGCGAGCTGGGATCAAGACGATGCACTACTGTGAAGGCAAAGCAAGTGCAGATTGAATTTCTGTTTGAAAGCCATCCATTTTTTTGATCACGAAAAGCAGCAAAGCAGTGCGTCTAAGGAACAACATTTTCAATGTGTGCATAACGCGTAATATGATGTGGAACTGAAACATGGTCACTGACAAGTGAAATGCAACAATAACGAAAACAAGTGCAGAATGTACTGTATGTTGGATTGTGCAGAACATATTGGTGTAAGGAATGATTATCACTGTGGAACAAAAAAAATGTTCCTGGGTAGTAAGTGTTATTGCCTAATTGCGTATGCCTCAAAAGTACAGAAAATGTCTGTTATTCCCCACCAACTTTGCTTTTGTGACCAGGATCGTAATATTTTGAAATTTACCTATTTTCAATGAGAAAACGTGTGCATTTGTGTCTTTCGTTCACATTAAGTCCTGGTCACAAAAGCAAAGTTTGCGGGCAATAATATCAATTTTCTATACTTTTTAGGCATAAGCAATACAAAAATAACACTTCGTACCCAGGAACAACAATGGTGTTTATATAGTGTCACCGATGGAGTGACAACCCAAGGAGGGAGCACACTGAAGAGTTAAATCACCGATGAGATCAGCGCATTGTGCCAGGATGGAGATAATAGATAGTGGCAGCACGAGGAGGCCTTTATCCAGCAGTAGATAGAACATGGTCGATGATGTATGTTGAACTTCTTTCACACCGTACGTGGCCAACCGTGCTGAACGGAGGTGCAGGGGAAGGACAGCAAGCTAAACACAAACAGCTGTTCTAAACAAATGAGTTTTCAATTTCGATTTAAAAGGGCATAGCTCCAGAGACGCACACAAACAATCTATACATAGTAAATATTAGTTTCTTATTTCGAGGTTTGCGGTGGGATTTATACAACACTAGTCTGTATTACTAAGAGTGCGTGGCTCAAGAAAGAGTGATGCCCGTCGTATGTCTACAAAGCTCGCTTTAATCAGGCAGGCAGTCAGAAGACCATAAATACTTCACTTAATGTACTGGAGTTATTTAATGTGCCTTATTTAACGGTACAACATATGCAATTTAAGTATTGACATCTATATTTAGGTTACGTCCTCAGAATCTTTATTTTTACTGGAGGAATCCAATGAGCGATAAAGCTCTTTTTTCACAGATGTCCAAAAAGTAATCGTGTCACTGGCATCAGACACTTGGTTTCTGGAAGAGAACGTTTTAGCATAGCTCTCAACAATTGCATTTAATTATGTTTTACTGCAGTCATGAATGCGCTGCATTGGATGTTAAACACAATGTTCGGCATGTACTATGGACTATACAGTGTGCATCTATGTGCCGATTTACCGTTTACGACAATATGCAATGGCACAATTTCTTTACTGTCAACAATTCCCTTTACTTTGGGGTTACCACCCCTGGCATCTGTTTTTGGGAGGCAGGAACTGATTTGTATCACTATCTGGCGGTACTGTATTATGTAAAACTTTAGTGCAATGTCCTGCACGGTTCTGATAGACCTTAGATGACTAAGAAATGTGCCGGGCTTTGGTCTGTGGAAAAGGTGGCAACCCTAGTTTGCGTGCGAAGGTCAACGTGGCTGGAGTTACAAATATGCACGGAACAGTTTTTTGCTGATTTTGGTTTGTAATAAATTACTAGAAGTGAAGTTTATGTGGACCTCTGGGGTTTTTTTTAACTTGAAAACCTGTCAGTGGAGTGGAATATTTTAAACCTCGGAACTTGCCGTAGGGAGATGACAACTTGCTCAAGGAGGACATTCTTGTGCAAGACTGACGTGGCCTAAAACCCAGAAGACTTGCTTTGCAAGTACTATGAGTTGTACAGGGTGGTCCAGATGTCTTGTGGCCCCCAATGAATTGACCCCTCATTTCTGTTTCCCCATTTGTATATACATTTCTGTTTTAAATTAGGCTTACTTAAAACAAATATTACGTTTTAGAGAATTATATGGGGGGGTCACAAGACATCTGGACCGCCTTGTACATTATTCCTAGAACACTACAACCGTATACAGTACTGTGCTGTGATATAGATGGACATCTATCCATGTTTTAAGAATTGTCACCCAAATTGTGCTGCAAACGAATTGTTTACTTACGTTTACAGAACCGTACAGTGAATCGTAGAATAATTGGATGCTACCGTGGTGTTATAATTAGCAGACTTAACTTGCAATCCAAGTTAAGTCTGCATGGTGGGGTAAAGTGTCGGTCCTCCCACCTCTTACAAAACTTGTGGCCAGCGCGGAGTAGACCCAAATATCCCATAGACAGTCTCTGAATTGAGATTATTGTCATTCATTTTTTAAAGATGTGATACCGTACCAATGTCCATGTCATGGAAAATGAAAGTAAAACACTACAGCTTAAACGTTACAGGTTACAGTACTGTAAATGAATATATCACTTTTGGAACGCTACAATTCTAAGACCCAAATACAAATCCACCAAGAGTGTATACCACCGTACTCTTTGGTTCTATTCGGTAAAGTCACGTAGGTAAAAAAAAAACCAACTTTACCGAATAGAACCAAAGAGTATGGATCCTTGCAGTCACGAAAGCTTCAAATCTAGAATATATACCACCGACTTTATTTAAATGGTAGTTAAAGCAACAGTGCATTACTTACATTTCATATGATTCACTGCAATTCCTAGCAAATAAACCAAAACAGGGTTGTGAACCTGTCAGTAGGTGGACCTTGAATTTAGTTATACCATGATTTGCATGGGCTCTGTCTCTACGTGCGGTACTGTGACAATGCACTGATTTCCTCCTACGAGCATAATCACTCATTAAATTGGCCAAACAATGCCCAGGGCCCTGCTGAAAAAGAAAAAAAACAGTTGTGAGATTGATCGAGGCTTTCATGGATTTGTGAGCGGGAATTAGCTAACAAAAGTGCAACTGCGTCTTTCTACTGCCACTAAATGGGCCTTGACTTTCCATGAAGAGTCCACCGAGTTGCGGATGTGAAGCAGAGTTGCCCCCCCCCACTCCTTCACCAACCCAGTAGCCCACCCCTCCATTTCCACTTGCGGATATTTACAATGGCCTCGAATGTGACATGCAGTCAAAATATCTGTGAAGTCCTTTCCCCTTGTTTAAGCTGTTTTGTCCGGAGCTCATTGTCTTCAAACAGCTCTGAGTTGCTCATAATGGAATTATCATTCTTTTTTTAACACTTAAATGATGACTATGATTTTCGGTTTTATTACATACACACACAAACACGCTCTCCTTTTGCATTCATATCTTTTTGCGTTTATTCAGCATTCATATTGAGAACACAGTTACATTGTTATACAGTTGTCAATATTTAAGTAAGAAAGGTGATTATGTGCATATTATATTGAGTACAGCATTTGTTTAGATTTTATTGGATGCTCATACATTGATTGGGGTTTTATTTTTTTAAGTTTTATTTTACATTTCTACAGTAATATTTACTCTAAAGTTATTTTATAACATTTCTCAACTACAGTACTGAAATGTTTTCTTTAGTCTTTCCTGCATGGCTTTGTTTCCACATTGAAAATGTACGTTTTTTGCTGCACTGTACAGGAGAACATCTATTTTTGGCCACTCCTGTTACGCACAGAAGCTTTAGGGTCCATGCACTTTATATACCCACGGCCCTATTCCAATTATCCACCGTTAGCCGCGATTTTACCCAAAAGCCGATGCGGAACGGTGTCCGATAACCGGCAATTTTTCTTACGGGTAAGAGGAGTGAATTCGTGGATAACCCCGTGGATGATAATGCCCCCAATAATAGTCTCCCATGTCACAAGAGACATTGTCGATGGGATCTCAGTCGCAGGCCCCCAGCCGATGCGTAGCAGGTCCTCCTGATCCTAAGGAAGGAAGGTCGTCGATGATCGGAGGCAGAGCTCTCACGTGATCTGCCAACACATCAGCCCAGTCAATGTGCCCAAAGATCCGAAGCCTCCTGGATCTTGACTCTTTCAGATACCGGCTGATATGCTATTCGCCAACGTAGTTTGGCATTTGTAACGTGCCCGCTGAAGTAAATACAAAGTGTCCGTCGCAAACATCACTGGTCATTACATTACTCGACCACGTCGATGTGGCTTACAGAAACACTGGGAGGATATACACAATGTAGAAGGCGGATCTTTGTTACTCTTATAATGCTGGTAATGCTGGAGACCCAGATGTTGCTTTTAAGTAGTTTCATGCACTCATGTGTGACTGAAATTCCGGTATGTTAGCTTCGCT